CACAGAACACAGTGATTTCCCCCTCCTCCCCCCCCCACCCCCAAATTAAGAAACTGGAGAGGGTAGCGGAACGCTTAAGAAATCCCGGTGCCGTCTTTATGCAGTTGACAGAGCTGTAGCCGCTTTATTGGCGACCGACCTCCTTGTGTACCGGAACGGTTTATGTCTTTGAAGCAGTATACAAGGTAGCAGTAGAAACTTATTGCAGTAAGTACAGTAGTTACCTCACAGCAACATGACTTTGCAGCTCTTAAATGCTTTTACTGGAAATAAATGCACTGTATGTGGCATGCCCGCAGTCGGAAATCAGATGAGCTGTCATACAGCTTTGCGTGATGTTACTGAGAAGTCGTAGCTTTGAACAATGAGGAACTTCCAGCAAGCAAAATTCAGAGCAGTGCGTGTGGCCCAAGGCCAACATAGCCCCAGCTTTCCTGTGTCCGGATGGGATCGTTGCATGCTAAACAGCAAAGTGATTGGAAAAGCTTTGAGACAGATGTGGAAGTTGCTGTGTTGGGCAGCATGTTTTGTGTGGTTGAGGACCCAGATGTTCAAGGAAGCACAGGAAAAGCGTGGGGCAATGCTGTAGGCAGGAGGGTGGTGGGCCACCTTTCAGTGCCGGCCTGTTCCCCAGCACTCGCCTGTGTAAGTACAATGGCATACAGCGCAGGAGCCACTTTCGCCTTTTTTTTTCCCCTCCATTAATAAATCCACTTGATAGAAAATAACACATGGGAGAGTGTGCATTCACTCTCTCTGGAAATGCGTAGCCCAGCTTATGTCACTATTTGCACACAGCAGTCATGTATTTTCTCTACTTGATTTTATCAGTTTTTCTTCTGTATGACATCCTGCACTCTATAAATGCCCAAGAAACACCACAACTGCAGGGAGACCATATTGTGACAGTTCTGAGCGAGTTACTGTCAGTTAAGCCTGTCTCCTTGAGACAGTTCTGGTTTAGTCTAAGGTGTGAACCCCAGGTGACTTAATTCACCCTTTGATATGGACACCATAATTTCACTTTTGGGAAAGCTTTTCCCATTTATTTGAAATTATTTAGAATTGGAATACAAAATAAAGAGTTCCCATACAGGGTATGAACCAGTTAAACTATACTGTCTTTAAAACATAGTTAAGCCAACGTAATTGCCCTTTCCTTTGCTGTTGTTAAACATACAGTGCAGTTGTTAGGTGTTTTTCAGTGGTGAAGTGGAATACTGTTTAAAATCATTTCGCGGGGGGAAATGCTGTGAAAAGGTGAATAAATACAAGGCTCCTCCAGCCTTTTCAGCTTTCATCAAAAGGACAGGAAGACCTGCAGATAGCTGTGGGTGAAACCGTTTCCTTTCTCTCCTGCAAGTGAACAGAGAGACTGTACATGGTTATGCACGTAATCATTTCCTTCCCGTCTTGCGAAAGGCCATCTCTGTGCGGTGCAAATTTCCTTTCAATCCAGGAATGCGATCAAGCTCCGAGGAAAGCAGGCCCCTCCGATCCTGTATTGGCCCGCCAAGGTTGCACGTGCCTTGCCTTTCCACTCCCCGGGCTGAGTTTGCCTCGGCACCGTTACAAAAATGCGGGCAAGTTTTCTTGCGGTGAAAAGTCCCGGGGACGGGGGTTAGCACCAGTTAAATCACTGCCTCACTCGCCTGCAAAAGCCGAAGGCGCTGCAAACGGGGGAGCTAGGGAAGATTTTCGCTTCCCGTCACGAGCACAGCGACAGCCAGGCCTCGGCGGCCCTCTGCCGCGGGCCGGCAGCGAAGCGCGC